GAATAAACAGTGAAGTGGCCTTTCATGGGTTCTTTGAAGAAGAGACTTTCGGTCTCTTTGATTCAACTGACAGTCAATAAGAATGCCAAAAAGAGCCAAAATTGATTGGGCATCAACAGATCTAAAGCACCAGTTTCAGCTACTAGTCTGAAAGGGAATGGGTTCGAATACCATTCTGATCATACTCAAATAAACTCTGTATTTGGTAATACTGGAAAAAAGGCTAGAATTCTAAGGCAGAACTTGACTAGGGCAATTGGAACCCATTAAAAACACATGTTAAAGAAGAGACTTTTAGGAGCTGCCGGCGAACAGCAAAGACAGCGGTAGCGGATTAGACAAGCTCTGATACCAAGTTGAAAATAAGAGTGATTTATTATTCTCAATGATAAAAAATACATTATGATACTCTCTATTTGTAATAATTTAATTCTCCTAAAAAGGAAAATAGGGAAACTAGGAAACTAAAATAAAATAATAGATTATATATCTATTTCCTCTAATTAAAAAGATTCTAAAGATATTATCTCAAATTACAACACAAACACACAAAGAGGAATGGAGTAAGGATCTTATGTTGGATACAAGAGAGAGTGAGGGACCTAATTATTAAGGACAGAGGAAGGAATGTGATTGATCATATAACATGATGTGAGAAACAAATCTCCCCCGAAGTGAAAAGGAACAATGTTGTGAAGAAGGATATGGGGCAGTTTCAACCAATTATCAATTCTTTTTTTCAGCGACACCATTTTTTTGTAGTGTGTGAGAGCAAGATGTTCGATAAAGAATACCTTGTGAACTAGAAAAGGGTTGAAACTAGGAAGGCATATACTCGTGAGCATTGTCAATGTGTAAAATTTTAAAAGATGTGTCAAATTGATATTAAACTTCCATTAAGAAACTTTGGAATGTAGAAAAAAGACAATAATGATTTTTTATTAAGAACAATTATTCATTAAGAATAACCAAGTACATAGAGAAAAATCGTCAATGAAAATAACAAAGTAATTGAAACCCAAAGTTAAACTGATGCAACTAGGACCTCAACTATATGAATGAACCAAGTCAAAAGAGGACAAAAAACTTTTATTAACTTGAGGACCATAGGTATGATGAGTGTGTTTTCCTAACTGACTAGACTCACATTGAAAAGACGAATTGTGAGAAAAACTTGGAATAGTAAGACACATTTGGGTAATACTGGGATGACCTAGTGTTGATGTCCAAGTGCTTGAGGAGTTGTGGAGATACAAGCAACCAATTGTAACAAATAGTATTATCCTTGCGACTAATGTCCTGCTCTAATTGTTTGTCTGGTACACTGATCCTAAATAAGAACAAAATAATTATAAAAAACAATAGGGTAATTTTGGTTGAGTTAGCTTGCTAGGGAAGATTAAATTAAAAGGACACCCAGGATATAAAACACAAAATCTAGGGTAAGATTAGGAGAGGGTTATGTTTGATCAATGCCATGAAATTTTATTTGAGAACGAACTACCATGAAAATAGAAGGTAAAGAATTCAAATAAGACAGTTGAGAGAAAAAGGAGTTGTTACCAATCATATAATTAGAGGTGCCAAAGTCAAGAATCCAAGGTCCCAAGGGAAAGACTGAGAAACAAAAGATACCAAATTGAGCAATGGCAGCTATAGGTTGTGTATGATGCACAGTTGTCTTGTAGGCATCAATAGAAATTGAAACCTCACTAGTTGCTCCTAGAGAAACAACTTGAGCAATATTAACCGTCTTTGGTTGTTTTTGTGTCTTTGTACTACATTCTACCTCAATATGGTCATCTCATTGAAAAAAGTTACAGCGAGGGCGTTGACCACAATAGCCACCATGATTTTCACTTTGTCCCCACCCTAGTTGATAGAATGGGAGTAAAAGATAGAGGAATTTTGTTGTAAGTTCAGAAGATTGCCAAAACATGAGAGGAATTGAGAGATGAAGTGTCCACTAACAATGTCAGAAGATGGAATAATAGTGTTCAATAATATCTGATTATGGACAAAATCAAGCTCAAGAGAAAGTCCAACAAGTGCAAACATTCCATGTTGTTCAGCATGTTTTTTTGCACCATTAGTGAAATGCATGAGTGCATCAAAATCTTTAATTAAGCAATCGAGCTCATTGAGATAGGTCTTCAAGCTTTAGAAAAACAAGGTTGGAGATAGCATTGAAAAGTTGATGAACATCATTGGACTAAATGCTCTTCGCTTTGGAAACCAAAGAACGCTATGAAGAGGCATCAATTTACTTCTATTGGGCTTGATCAATGCTAGGAATATCTTTGGCTTGCTTGGTCAAGTGGTCATCATGACCTTAACCCTAGAACCACAATTGAACAACAGCAACCCAAGGGCTGTAGTTGCTTGTCCCGGTCCACATGGAATCAACGAAACAGTAGTGTAAGTCTTTGCAATAGCGGTATTTGAGTGGTAGTTGTCAAAAGCCACGGGAAATGAACCTAAAAGAGGGACACTTGAGTGTGAGTAAGGAGGCAAAGGGTGTGTCGTCAAGTAGGTCATCTTAGGAAATCTGTTATGGGTATGTGAAATACACGGAGAGCTGCGAACAAAGCTTGGTGGTCACCAAGAGAGGGTGGTTCTGGTTGCAGCAGTCATTAGAGGAAAAACACTTAGTGATGAAGGAAAAGAGCATGCCATGGCCATGGGTACTATTTAGCCAGGATTTAAAAACAGGGATCGAAAGTAAACCTGAACTAATCATGGCATATAAAAAAATGTTATCTGAATGTTATGTGTCTAATGCAGACCATACAGTATGTATTTATACCAATTTGTAGAATCAAATACAGTAAATTACTGTCTAATAATTAGGAATCAATGACCCTAATTTCCTTAAATTTGTGTTAACTAATGACTAAAAAAATTTTAACAGCTAATGGCTAATTACATTCTAACACTAATTATTAAATAAAAGAAAGTAGTGTATAAAATCTATTACCGCCAAGTGATCAAATCAAGGTTTGATGGATAGTGGCAAGGTAACAATAATTTAGGATACAAATATGAGGAATTCACAATTCATTATAACAAAATGTATGTATTTTCCTTTACCTGTATCTCATCAAAGCACAAAATGCTAGCTCCTTTCTCATTTTCTTCTCCATCCAGGAAAAACTTATCTGCTACAGCTGGAAGAATGTTCTTTATTTGCATCTCTTGCTTGTATCTTTCCTCAGCAGCCAACCACTCCTTAGCTTTAATGTCAAATGGAAGACTCATAATCCAACCAGCAACAGCCGATTGCAAAGGCTTCTCTTCAATTTGGCTCTTCCATATCTTGTGCATATGTTCATTAATTCTGAGCATGGCCTGCATATTAGTGAAGGAATTGTTTTCAACACCATGTTCATAATAATTACCAATGCTCTGGCAAAAGTAAGATGGTGCATACATTCTAGAAAGCAACATATAAGACTCACCTCATGAAAGTGATACCTTCTTCGATGTTTTACAATTCCTTTAGTAGAACTATAGAACATGTCCATCAACATTGTCTTTCCTTTCAACATTAGAATTGAACCAATATAGTTAGAGAAGAGTTGGATATTGTGTGTGTGTTTATTTATGATAGATAGGAAATCTAGGTGGAAGGTTAATTGTATGAGTTCTGTGTGGATAGTGTGAGTGGAGAACTTCCATTGAACTTTTTAATGACAAAACAGGAAAAGGTAATCTATTAATTAAATAAGTGGCAATAAGTCCGGCTTTCCCCCAAAAAATTTTTGGACATAATTTTGAAAAAGGAGTGTTCTACTTTGTTGTAGAAAGTGCCCATTTTTCTATTCAACAATTCCATTTTGATAAGTACGAAATTGTAGAAGTTGCTAAATTATCCCTTGATGAGTTGCAGCTAGAGACTACATTTAGGCCTTGCCTTGCGTAGATTGGCAAGGTGTTCTCTTGGATTTTTTTGTTCAATGATGATGCCTCTTAGTATTTTCTGGAGACTCATCATATTAGAAATTGTAAATCTATTTTAATAACTTGTTTTGAGGATAATATATGAATCTTAATTCTCAATTAGACTTTTGTAATGTTGGTCACATTTAATATGTGTGTGTGTGTAGTGTCCGGATGTCTTATATTTTAGACATCAGTTGTACCCTAGTGTAATACCCTTGTGTAATGTGTGTCTCAAAGTTCATAATTCATATTTAGAAATCAAATCAGCCTGATATAAGTTTACATCATAGGTAAGTATAACAATCCAAAAGAAGAAAAGTACAAGAAGGTAAATACCGCTGCCAACATTGCCATATATGTAAAGTCCTTTAGGAGCTGGGGGAGCAGTTGGACGACGACCAACAAGTGAATCCAACTTCTTCTCACGTTTAAGATACGATACCCATTTTCCCACCCCTGGCTCCATATTCTCAGGTCTTTTCCTGAATCACGGAAAAGGACATGTAGCTTCAATACATGTCACAATACAAGTAGCTTCAATCAAAGAACACATTCTAACCAAGACAGAAAAATGAAATCAAATCAGCGGTGAACAGACAGAAGCTGAATTTGAAATTACAGCCATCATTGAAAATCCATAGAAACATGGAAAATCCATAGAAACATTGAAATTGCATCGTCTTAAGCGTCCAGTTTAATCAAAACCATGTTAAATTAACCCAGAACTCACCGGGATGTCCATCTTTCAGTAAGCTTATTGTTCAACCGCTTCCACCAGTCCTCATCCTTCTGGTGCAGCTCAACTTCCTCCATAAGAAGTCTCCGCCGCTCATTCTCCCGCTGCTTCTTCCAATTAGCTAGATTCACCTACACACAGTGAGGACAGATTCAAAAACCACATACACAAACAAAAACAAAAACAAAAACCAAGCCTGCAAATAAGTTTAAAGAAAAGAAAAACTTCTTTTTTTTATCGGCAAAAGAAAAGAAAAACATGCTGGTTAGTGGAACAAATAAATTAGTAACCGAACATCCAATTCCAATTATACATGATACTCCTCCATATCTCTCTCATACTGCTCCAACCTGGCAAGCAAACTCTCAAGCTCTGAAGCAACACTCTCTTGGTAAGGATCATACTGCAACTTCCCTTGATCAACTAGACTTTTGTACTGAACAAGCGGCCCTGGAAAGCAACAATTCCGCACAGAAATTAACGAATCACGAATTCCATTCAAAAGTTGAAAAACAAACACGGTTAATTCCTAAAATCAAATTACAACAGAGCGTGGATGATTATGATAATGAAATTGAAATCGAATTGAAAATGTGAATAAATATTAACCTGGACGGTTCTGCCGATACGATTGATCGCAATAAGAGCGAAACACAGTGACGCGGAACTTGGAGGCTGGGCTTGAAAACGCCGCGAGTTGTTTGGATTTGGAGAGAAGATTCCATATTCTTCTCATTTTTTATTTTTTTTTGTTGAGAAATTTTGTTTTCAAAAGTGAATGAACTTCTGTACTTGCATTTGATCAGAAAGTAGTTGTAATGACAGACGCGAGTTGAGGAGTTTAGAAGGAAGACAGAACGTGTATGTGAGTGACGTGGCTGCTTCCCTCACCACCAGAAGAAACTAAATTGGAAAGTGCAACATTAATATTATTCCGGACTTGCTTAGGCTTTTNTTTGAAGAAGAGACTTTCGGTCTCTTTGATTCAACTGACAGTCAATAAGAATGCCAAAAAGAGCCAAAATTGATTGGGCATCAACAGATCTAAAGCACCGGTTTCAGCTACTAGTCTGAAAGGGAATGGGTTCGAATCCCATTCTGATCATACTCAAATAAACTCTGTATTTGGTAATACTGGAAAAAAGGCTAGAATTCTAAGGCAGAACTTGACTAGGGCAATTGGAACCCATTAAAAACACATGTTAAAGAAGAGACTTTTAGGAGCTGCCGGCGGACAGCAAAGACAGCGGTAGCGGATTAGACAAGCTCTGATACCAAGTTGAAAATAAGAGTGATTTATTATTCTCAATGATAAAAAATACATTATGATACTCTCTATTTGTAATAATTTAATTCTCCTAAAAAGGAAAATAGGGAAACTAGGAAACTAAAATAAAATAATAGATTATATATCTATTTCCTCTAATTAAGAAGATTCTAAAGATATTATCTCAAATTACAACACAAACACACAAAGAGGAATGGAGTAAGGATCTTATGTTGGATACAAGAGAGAGTGAGGGACCTAATTATTAAGGACAGAGGAAGGAATGTGGTTGATCATATAACATGATGTGAGAAGCAAATCTCCCCCGAAGTGAAAAGGAACAATGTTGTGAAGAAGGATATGGGGCAGTTTCAACCAATTCTCAATTCTTTTTTTCAGCGACACCATTTTTTTGTAGTGTGTGAGAGCAAGATGTTCGATAAAGAATACCTTGTGAACTAGAAAAGGGTTGAAACTAGGAAGGCATATACTCGTGAGCATTGTCAATGTGTAAAATTTTAAAAGATGTGTCAAATTGATATTAAACTTCAATTAAGAAACTTTGGAATGTAGAAAAAAGACAATAATGATTTTTTATTAAGAACAATTATTCATTAAGAATAACCAAGTACATAGAGAAAAATCGTCAATGAAAATAACAAAGTAATTGAAACCCAAAGTTAAACTGATGCAACTAGGACCTCAACTATATGAATGAACCAAGTCAAAAGAGGACAAAAAACTTTTATTAACTTGAGGACCATAGGTATGATGAGTGTGTTTTCCTAACTGACTAGACTCACATTGAAAAGACGAATTGTGAGAAAAACTTGGAATAGTAAGACACATTTGGGTAATACTGGGATGACCTAGTGTTGATGTCCAAGTGCTTGAGGAGTTGTGGAGATACAAGCAACCAATTGTAACAAATAGTATTATCCTTGCGACTAATGTCCTGCTCTAATTGTTTGTCTGGTACACTGATCCTAAATAAGAACAAAATAATTATAAAAAACAATAGGGTAATTTTGGTTGAGTTAGCTTGCTAGGGAAGATTAAATTAAAAGGACACCCAGGATATAAAACACAAAATCTAGGGTAAGATTAGGAGAGGGTTATGTTTGATCAATGCCATGAAATTTTATTTGAGAACGAACTACCATGAAAATAAAAGGTAAAGAATTCAAATAAGACAGTTGAGAGAAAAAGGAGTTGTTACCAATCATATAATTAAAGGTGCCAAAGTCAAGAATCCAAGGTCCCAAGGGAAAGACTGAGAAACAAAAGATACCAAATTGAGCAATGGCAGCTATAGGTTGTGTATGATGCACAGTTGTCTTGTAGGCATCAATAGAAATTGAAACCTCACTAGTTGCTCCTAGAGAAACAACTTGAGCAATATTAACCGTCTTTGGTTGTTTTTGTGTCTTTGTACTACATTCTACCTCAATATGGTCATCTCATTGAAAAAAGTTACAGCAAGGGCGTTGACCACAATAGCCACCATGATTTTCACTTTGTCCCCACCCTAGTTGATAGAATGGGAGTAAAAGATAGAGGAATTTTGTTGTAAGTTCAGAAGATTGCCAAAACATGAGAGGAATTGAGAGATGAAGTGTCCACTAACAATGTCAGAAGATGGAATAATAGTGTTCAATAATATATGATTATGGACAAAATCAAGCTCAAGAGAAAGTCCAACAAGTGCAAACATTCCATGTTGTTCAGCATGATTTTTTGCACCATTAGTGAAATGCATGAGTGCATCAAAATCTTTAATTAAGCAATCGAGCTCATTGAGATAGGTCTTCAAGCTTTAGAAAAACAAGGTTGGAGATAGCATTGAAAAGTTGATGAACATCATTGGACTAAATGCTCTTCGCTTTGGAAACCAAAGAACGCTATGAAGAGGCATCAATTTACTTCTATTGGGCTTGATCAATGCTAGGAATATCTTTGGCTTGCTTGGTCAAGTGGTCATCATGACCTTAACCCTAGAACCACAATTGAACAACAGCAACCCAAGGGCTGTAGTTGCTTGTCCCGGTCCACATGGAATCAACGAAACAGTAGTGTAAGTCTTTGCAATAGCGGTATTTGAGTGGTAGTTGTCAAAAGCCACGGGAAATGAACCTAAAAGAGGGACACTTGAGTGTGAGTAAGGAGGCAAAGGGTGTGTCGTCAAGTAGGTCATCTTAGGAAATCTGTTATGGGTATGTGAAATACACGGAGAGCTGCGAACAAAGCTTGGTGGTCACCAAGAGAGGGTGGTTCTGGTTGCAGCAGTCATTAGAGGAAAAACACTTAGTGATGAAGGAAAAGAGCATGCCATGGCCATGGGTACTATTTAGCCAGGATTTAAAAACAGGGATCGAAAGTAAACCTGAACTAATCATGGCATATAAAAAAATGTTATCTGAATGTTATGTGTCTAATGCAGACCATACAGTATGTATTTATACCAATTTGTAGAATCAAATACAGTAAATTACTGTCTAATAATTAGGAATCAATGACCCTAATTTCCTTAAATTTGTGTTAACTAATGACTAAAAAAATTTTAACAGCTAATGGCTAATTACATTCTAACACTAATTATTAAATAAAAGAAAGTAGTGTATAAAATCTATTACCGCCAAGTGATCAAATCAAGGTTTGATGGATAGTGGCAAGGTAACAATAATTTAGGATACAAATATGAGGAATTCACAATTCATTATAACAAAATGTATGTATTTTCCTTTACCTGTATCTCATCAAAGCACAAAATGCTAGCTCCTTTCTCATTTTCTTCTCCATCCAGGAAAAACTTATCTGCTACAGCTGGAAGAATGTTCTTTATTTGCATCTCTTGCTTGTATCTTTCCTCAGCAGCCAACCACTCCTTAGCTTTAATGTCAAATGGAAGACTCATAATCCAACCAGCAACAGCCGATTGCAAAGGCTTCTCTTCAATTTGGCTCTTCCATATCTTGTGCATATGTTCATTAATTCTGAGCATGGCCTGCATATTAGTGAAGGAATTGTTTTCAACACCATGTTCATAATAATTACCAATGCTCTGACAAAAGTAAGATGGTGCATACATTCTAGAAAGCAACATATAAGACTCACCACATGAAAGTGATACCTTCTTCGATGTTTTACAATTCCTTTAGTAGAACTATAGAACATGTCCATCAACATTGTCTTTCCTTTCAACATTAGAATTGAACCAATATAGTTAGAGAAGAGTTGGATATTGTGTGTGTGTTTATTTATGATAGATAGGAAATCTAGGTGGAAGGTTAATTGTATGAGTTATGTGTGGATAGTGTGAGTGGAGAACTTCCATTGAACTTTTTAATGACAAAACAGGAAAAGGTAATCTATTAATTAAATAAGTGGCAATAAGTCCGGCTTTCCCCCAAAAAATTTTTGGACATAATTTTGAAAAAGGAGTGTTCTACTTTGTTGTAGAAAGTGCCCATTTTTCTATTCAACAATTCCATTTTGATAAGTACGAAATTGTAGAAGTTGCTAAATTATCCCTTGATGAGTTGCAGCTAGAGACTACATTTAGGCCTTGCCTTGCGTAGATTGGCAAGGTGTTCTCTTGGATTTTTTTGTTCAATGATGATGCCTCTTAGTATT